TAAAATAAGGTGGGAGGGGGTCAGGGGGGCAGAAAGTTATTGGCCAATATGGCTTTTGAGCTTTCTCCCATCTCACTAATCGTTGAAGATCTGACAGTTACAGCAACTCAATCTGCTTCTTCACAGGAAAGCAGAAAAGGGGTCAGGGAGGTGGGGGACAAAAAGACAGCTTTTATAGATAGGAAGATACTCTGGAAAATTAAGCCTCATTCTAAAAAGAAATTATTTAAATTTTACAAAGCTAGAGGTCTTTTAACAAGCTGAAATCATTAACTAGGGTACTTCATGTTTCAGGATAAAATTCCCAAATTAACAGATGAATGAAGCTTTAAAAATCGTGCTCCCTTCTGATGAAACACTAAAGCATTGGCCAAGGTTAATTAGTATTTCTCCTCCTTCAGAAGCCCCTGGTGAGCCTTTACTGAAGGTACTAATTTCTCCTGCCCTAGAAAATCCTGATTGCTCTTCAGTCTCACTCACTGTATAACGCAGTTTGCAACCTGGTAGCTGCCTCTGAGGTTAGTCACTAAAACCCAGAAACCTACCTGACTTAAAAAAATCTCTCCGAGAAACCAGGAGAAAACCCAACGGCACCATCATCCAAGCCTGAATTCTAACACATGTACTACAACTCAGCTGGTAATACATGAGAAGCAAGGTCAGAGTTTGAAGAAAACACATCAAGAACCAGACGTATTCTCAGCAAGCAGATTTTTTCAGAGCTTTATTTAAATTAACCATTCTTTCAATATCATCATGCTTTCTGCCCCAAATGGAAAGAATCTATGATATGTGGCATTATAGAGAGATCAGGGAAGCAGCTAAATTTGGCCAAGTGGCAATGGATACGTCCAGAGAGGAATTCTGGCTGCAGATTAGAAGGGGAAGAGGCACAGGACTTATGACGGAGATGGAGAGAGAGTGGATGGATGGAACACAGACTCCACACAAGTGAACAGAACTAAAGAACAAAACAAAACAGACCCCATTAGAGGATGGAAAACAGAATCTAAGAAAAGACTGGCTACAAAAAAAGAGCTGGAGAAATGAGAAGACAGACCTGGAGACCGTAATTCAGAAAAAGTAGTTTGTGATGGCTACTCTCCTCGCCACTGAGGTGCTGAAGGACTGGTACAGGCACAGCAATTACGCACTCCCGTCAGGTACCCAAAGAAGCCCCTCCAAATCTATTTCTTGCCCAGTCGAGTGCTGCCACGTTGGCTTCAGAGAAGAGAACTGAGCACCTGGCCCAGCAAGAAAGGCACAAAATGAAAGCAACAAGCACATTAAAAAAAAAAAAAAAATCCAACAGATTCAGCTCAACGAAAAAGTGACAGCTGCACACAACAGATGTAGAGCCTAGAGTCCTCTAAACCGGTTCTTCCAGAGGGAAAGCTATGCTCAGGGCCAGCACAGACACTCCATGTGGACAATGAGAAAACTACTACAGATTTTAAATACTTGTTGTGTCTGAAGCTTACAAGTTTTGTTTTGCCATAAGGAAAATAACTGGTCAAGAGATCTTTAAGACCTACTTTACACAGAGCTCTCTCCAAATGGCTAAGAGTAGCATTTCAAACAGAAACTACTGAAAAATGCACACACTGCACAAGATCATGGCACTATTTGGTGTTCTCTTCACAGTGCTAAACCCTGGGCTTTTCATAATCTTGCCATTTTGAAATTCTTTTGCATTACTTTGTATCTAACAATCTCAAGGGAGCTTACTTCAACAATCCTTCTCTCACAGATGAATTAACGCTAATATCCAAGAAGTCAGCCACCCTAACTTAAAGATCGGCTCAACTATAGTACTCTCCATCCTCATCCATCAATATTCTCCCCTCAATCGCTGGCCTCCAGCCACACTGGCTTCCTTTCCATTCTGGAATTAGCTATTTATTGAACACTGTGATCTTCTCTAAGGCAGAAGCTATATCTACCTGTATCTTCCTGGCACATAGCAGAAGCACAATAAATTTAGACACACTTGCATTAAAAACTCAGTAAACTGTCTAGAGTTCATTCTGTATGATACGTGCACTTCTCATAACAAAATGTTAACTGAGAATGTTCCAATTTGACATACACAAGCTTTTAATATAATTGACCACAACATAATGGACACAATCCCTAACTGCAGCCACATGCTGCTGTTGAGGGTCAGACCAGGTATATGGCTCCCCTTACAGATCATGCCTTAATAATTCAGTACGACTGCTGACAACTTTCAAAAAAAAAAAAAAAACAGTAGTTGAAAGACTGGAATATGACAACATCATATCATGAGATTTTTTTAAAGGCCTTGTAAAAATAAACATAGAACTTTATTCATAAAAAAAAAGTATTAATCCCAGGGAAAGAATCTAGAATTACCAAGATCCACTACTTCTGCCAAAGTTCAGGAGAGAACCTAATAATAGCTCATTTAAAATTATAAATGAGAATTACTAAATTCTTGCTCTCTAAAGATTCTCAAAAGAGTATTCTAAGTCAGATAAAACTAAGTTACTCACATTCTCAATGAACTGGGTATTAGAGAGCATAAGGAAGTCATTGAAGACATTATGTAGGCGACAATCTGTGGCTTTAGTTTCCCGAATTAGTCCATCCATTTGTTTCTTGATTTCATGGGTCCTAGAGATAGTCTGCTGGGAGAATTCCTGCAGAAACTGTAGCAGCTATTTTAAAAATAAACGTACAATAAAATCAGTATTATACGCATCCATTCTGCACGTCAAAACAAATACCATTTCCCTTCACCTTTGTGTGTGTGGGGAGGTGGGAGTCAAATGTAAAAGTGATGCTGCTTTTGACAGTACTAAGACCAAGTGGTGCCGAAAAACATTAAGAAAGCTCATCAAAACAGTGGCAACGCATCAGTGGAAACTTGCTATCTCGTTTCTGGAGAAATTCCCAAGTCCCGCTTGGCTGGCACATACAGGTAGCACAGAAAAGCACAAGTAAAATAATAACTACCCACTCTTATCAAAGAATCCTATTCATATGGGAACGTGGAATCAACATTTCTGAGTTGAGTTTCCTGGGCCCCCTGCTTGATGAGTCCCGGTCAAGGATACCCACATAACGGCTTGTCTCCCGCCCCATTTACTCCAGGTCCCAACATGGAATCGCCTCATTAGTGGCCGTAGGGCGGCGAAAACGAATCTGGCCCCTTCAGGATGGAGTTGAATGCATCACTAAGAAACCCAAACAAGGTAGGGAACCCCGCCCGAGCTCTCAGCTAAGACCAACCGGCCAGCCCCTCTGCCTGGTGCCTGGGGACTGTCACCGTAGGGTTTTCGAGGATGGGGAGGAAATGCGTGTTACTGAGAAGAACCAAACAGAACCTCTGAAGCGGGGCCCTCCGAGGGGGGCAGGGAGACAGCCTGGGTCGAGGGGGCATCCGAGGTCACCAGCTCCTCCCAAACGTTTGCCCGGCTTCGCCCCGGCGCCTCAGACGGCGCGCCCTCCCCTCCTGGCCCCGGGGCCCGCCGCTCACGCCCGCGTCGGCCGCCAGCGACCAGCTCTGGCTGCTCCTACGGATCTCCTCCACCGACCAGGGCCGCTCCCACACGGGCTCGGACGCCGGCGCCCGTTCTGGGTCGGGGGTCGTTCCGTTCATCTGCAGCGGGAAGGACGAGAAGAGGAGCTGAGCTGTGACGGCGGCACCCACGGCCCAGCCCGGCCCCGGCCCAGCCCGGGCACGCCCCCCTTACCATCCCGGCCGCACGGCTTGCAGGGCTCAGGGGTTACGATGCCCGAACCCGCCGACCGCCGGAGAGATCCGGAAGCCGAGCGCGCAGTCGCGCGGCTCGGGCTGATGACCCGGCCTCACGTGATCATATATCACGTGACCGAGCCCCCACGTGACCGGCCGTAAGCTGCCATCACGTCCACCCAGGTCTGTGGGAGAAGCTGCAGTCCCTGGCTGGGAATGGGAGATGGAATCCTCCTGCTGGTCTGAAACCTCCTGCTGGTCTGAAACTGGTACCCGACACCAGTGAGCGCTAAGGAGGTGAGGGTCAGCTCGGTGACGCTTCAACACGCGGTGCCAGTTAATAATCAGGGTCTGCAGGTGGAGGGACTGGTGTGGGGAGCCAAAGGAGTCTGTGTAACAAGCAGCCAAGGGCTTTAAACTTCGAGCGATGTGGGCTAAGAAAAAGCCCTTCGTCTGTTCCCTTGCTACATCTCCACTGCCTATCGCAGGACTGGCGCACAGGCCCTTAGTGTATGGAGAGTGACTGAACTGGGGGCCTCATCGTGCTCTTGACCTGCTCTGTTTCAGTTCACTGCGTAGGGCCTGCTTAAAATCTTTTATCACGTTGGTATTGCCTTTAGATTAAAGTCCAAAGGCAGAAACACTTGATGATCCAATCCTTGCCTGCGAGTTCATCCTCAGTTGACCCCGCTCCTTACCTCCCACTAGACCTCTCACACTTCTGAACTTCCTTCTGCTGAGTTGCTCTTGTGTCAGATGAACTTAATTTTTTAAATAAAAATCTAACTTGTTTTCATTCCTTTGTGACCAAGGAAGTTACTTAATCTCCGTGAGTTTTTCTTCTAAGTAATATGAAGTTACATATTTTGCAGGGATGTGGAATTAAATGTATTATCTGTGAAACACGTAGGACGGTCCTTGGCATACGGTGAGCATTCAGCATAGATCTTGCCACTCAGTTCCCCCATCCCCTGGTTTCTCCAACTCTTGGGCACTCTTAGTGTTCAGTTGTCACTTCAGTGAAGCCTTTCTTGACTGTCCCATCAAGTACAGCTTAGGTACAACCCTCACTTACTTTCTGTTTGTACGAATATTTATCATAAAGTATTACATTGTATTGTAGTCACGTATTTGCATACTTGTCTCCCATTTAATAATAATTGCTAAAATTAGGAAGGACGCAGTATTTACCAAATGCTTTTTATGTTTGATTCAGTTAATTCTCAGGACAACTCTACAAGGTAGGGATGATTTGTTTCCTCATGATTAAAATCAGGTTATGCTTTTTTTTTTAGGAGCCCTGGTGGCACAGTGGTTAAAACCACATGGTTGCTGTCTTAGTTATCTAGTGCTGTTATAACAGAAATACCACAAGTGGATGGCTCTAATTAAGAGAAATTTATTCTCTCACAGTCTAGGAGGCTACAAGTCCATATTCAGGGCACCATCTCCAGGGGAAGGCTTTCTCTCTGTTGGCTCTGGGGGAAGGTCCTTATCAGTCTTCCCCTGATCTAGGAGCTTCTCAGCACAGGAACCCCAGGTCCAAAGGACGCACTCTGATCTTGGCCCTGCTTTCTTGGTGGTATGAGATCCTCCTGTCTCTGCTCACTTCTCTCTTTTATATCTCAAAAGAAGTTGACTAAAGACACAACCTAATATTGTAGATAGAGTCTTGCCTCATTAACATAACTGCCGCTAATCCCACCTCATCAACAACATAGAGATAGAATTTACAACACACAGGAAAATAATATCAGATGGCAAAATAGTGGACAATCACACAATACTGGGAATCACGGCCTAGCCAAGTTGACAGACATTTTTGCAGGACACAACTCAATCCATGACAGCTGCTAACCAAAAGGTCAACGATTCAAACCCACCAGCTGCTCAGCAGGAGAAAGATGTGGCAGTGTGCTTCTGTAAAGGTTTACAGCCTTGGAAACCCTACAGGGTAGCTATGAGTAGAATCAACTCTGCAGCAGTGGGTGGGTTATGCATTTCTTTTAAGAATTCAGTGTGGAAAAAACAAGTATGCAAAATTAATCAGAAAAACACTAATGTGGTGGTGTCAAACTTCATCTGACTTCAGGGGGAGAGATGAGAATCACCATCAGCACAAAGCTGATTCCTATGAGGTGGAGGTCAAACATACCTCCACTCTCCAACCTTTTCACCGATTCTAACACAGCTGTCCCTCCCATGACACTCTCTACCCATCTTCTGGGTTTGATAGTTCGTTACAACGGCTACACAGAACTCACAGGCCATACTTAAGTGGCTTATTAAGGTACTACGGTACAACTTGGGATCAGGATCAACAGGCTACAACTCTGCTTCAGGATCAGGAAGCATGTCGGCAAAGCCTAAAAGGCTTCCCAGAAGTGGTGAGTACATCCCTCCCTTCTTCAGTGCAGGGAAGCTCTCTCACCTCCTCTTGGCCATGCAAGCAAGCAGCCCTTTTCTCTGCCATGCACACCCCCTCTCAGCCTTGCAAGCCTCCTCTTGGCCCCCTCAGGACAGACTCTTATCGTCCTCTTCAGGACAGGCTCCTCTCTGCCCCCTCAGGACAAGCTTCCTCTTGGCCATGCACGCCCACTCGGAGTCATACAGGCCTCTCTACCAGAGGCCCCTCCATTGCTAACCGGCCCAGCTCACAGCCAGCGTAGCAGCTTTGTTCAGCTCTCTTAGCTGCATTCCTAGCATGATTTTTCTGCCATCACCACGAGCAGTACCACAGGGCCCCTGCTGGGCCTCTCACTGTCTTCACTGTTACAGCCTTTGACACATGTTAAAGCTCTTTTAGGAGTTTTCTCACCTCCCCTCTATCTGCTGCATCTCTCTTCTTGCTTCTCTTGCCTTTTCTCCTTTTTTGCTTCTTTCTTCTTTCTGAAACCTTTGTAGGGTTGGCTTCATATAAGAGAAAACTCCTTGTCAATTTCAAAGCATGGCCCTCCCAGCAGGGCCATGAGCTGGCCAATACCTTCAGTGGACCATAGTCACTTCATTTGCATAGTCTACTTCAGGGAGCCCTGGTGGCACAATGGTTAAAGGGCTTGGCTGCTAACCGAAAGGTCGATAGTTCAAACCTACCAGCTGCACCACGGGAGAAAGATGTGGCAGCCTACTTCTGTGAAGACTTACAGCCTTGAAACCCTATGGGACAGTTCTCCTCTGTCCTATAGGGTCACTATGAGTCAGAATCAATGGCAGTGGGTTTGGGTTTTGGGTTTATAGTTACTTCATTTGCATAGTCTGTAGTATATTGACAGATCCCTGCAAGGGCAGTAAAATAGACCAATCACAGGGCAGGCTGCCGCTCAGGGCCAGACAAAGATTATCAGATGATCAAATTGTATACAGCTTACCCAAGAAATGTCAATCAACCTGGACAAAAGTAACCTTCTGGGGTAGAATACTAGGGCAAAGGTAACTCCTCAGGGGTTAGAAGGGGAAAAAAATCTCTCAAACTATTTTTCCAAAGAACCAAGGCAAAAGGCCACATAAAGGAACTCATTTCACCACGAACACTGAAAAAGAAAGACAGGGGGACTAGCATTACCAAAATAGCCTCTATAACTAAAATTTTGTGGTAGTGGTGCATGAATAGACGAATAGAATAAAATGCCTCAAAATAGGCCCAAGCACATTTGGAAACAATATGTTCATAAAAGTGGCATCTCAGGCCGCTGGGGCAAAGATGGACTGTGTTTTAAAATATGGTGCTGGAACAACTGGATAGTCATTTATAAAAATAAACTCCAAATTAGAGATCAAAATGTAAAAGATGACACCATACAAGCACTACCATAAAAACATGGTTGACTTCCTCTGTTACCTCAGTGTAGGGAAAGGCTTTCTATGACTCAGAATCCAGAGGCAAAAAAAGAAACAATTGATAAATTTAAATGCATAAAAAGAAAGCATTTTTTCCACTCTGGTATGTCATCACTCTGACCCTTACAACAACAACAACAACAAAAAAGCTGAAAAAAAAATTAATAGCTGTTCTTACATCCTTCAGAGAATTGAGGTTAAAGGGCAAACTAACATTCAGGAAACTGGAGAGACAAATGACTACAGAAAATACAGATTTGTTTACCTGAAGTAGAAGTTACTGGAGCCAGTAACCCCAGTAGGAACATTTAAAAGTAATTAACAAATTGCTGGAGGCTGAGTGTGGATTAGCTTTAAGAGAGAAAATCTGGTGTTCCATTCTATAGGGTGTCCTTACACTTGCCTGGGTTTTACTTCCAGGAATCCCACTAGGTTCTCACTGAAGATCAGAGAAAAATCCCCTTGCATTGGCCCAGAGCATTCTCCACAACAAAAACCTAACCAGCAGAGGAAAAGACTTCACCAGAACCTTATCCTGCTTGGAGGAAAGTAAATTACCGAACCTGGGCACCCTCTAGCCTTCCTGTCTGACTGAAGGAGAGGTGGTTGAGAAGCACTTGTAAAGGTCACAGCCTAGGGACACACAGACATAAAAAGACTGTTACCAAATCATACGGTTATAGACTGCATCTCCTCCACCCCCTACACCTTGCCACCACAACAGGGCTCCAGCATAATAACAGTGGATTACAACTGAGAGTTGCAAGACACAATCTGTTTTTAAGAAGGATTTTCTAGGAAAGTCCAAAGACAACAGAGGAGACAAAAACAAGGACGCTAGAGGAAGCTGAAGCCCCTGGCACTTAAAGCTACAATAACCATTAAAGAAAGCCTGTTTTCTAGCCAGATAAATATAAAACCTCACACTAAAGGCTTATTGACCTTAGTTGCTATTAATACATGTTCAGCTTTCAACAAAAAATTACAAGGCAGGCTAAAAGTCAAGAAAAAACACAATATGAGGAGACAAAGCAAGCAGCAGAACCAGATAGAGATATGGCAGAGATTTTGGGATGATCAGATCAGAAATTTAAAATAACTACGATTAATATGCTAAGAACTCTAATGGAAAAAGTGGACAATGTGCAGGAGCAGATGGGTAATGTAAGGACAGAGATGGAAACTCTAAGAAAGAACCAAAAGTACTACAAATTTAAAAAAAACA